AAAGAATTCATAACGTCTCTTTTGAGATATTCTCAGAAAAGAATCTTCCTGGGGAATTACGTAAGCCTGGGATGTCTGCCACTCCCCGGCTTCATTCTGCTCAGCCTCCTATTGCCATGTGCCAGGCCCGCGTCACCTCCCAACTCTGAACCCTGGCCTTCGGTCAGCCGGACACCCCCGCTGGCTGCTTTCTTAGCCGGGCGCTTGCCCTGTCCCTAGTCTCAGATTCTTCCCTTTACCTCCTGGCTGGACTGCCTCGAGATGGCTTGAGGTTGTTACAGTACACCTAAGGGTACTTAGAAATTCAAGGATATGTGGTACACTGTGAGATCGGCCTCTGACCTTGTACATGTGGATCTCATTGCATAACTTCAATTGACCTTAGTATTAAAAAGAGGGGAAGAGGGAGGAAGGAAGGGAGGGAGGGAGAAGGTGGGCAGGAATCAACCTCTGGTGTTTTTAAAAATTCACAGTAGCCCATCATACTAAACAAGAGACTTCAACTAGCAATACTTTTAAAAGTTTTTCTTTTTAGCTATTAACAGCATAAGAAACCACAGATGTTGGCGAGGATACAGAGAAAGGGGAATGCAATCCCTCTCACACCGTTGGTGGGAATGCAAACTGGTGCAGCCACTCTGGAAAACAGTATGGAGGTTCCTCAAAAAGTTAAAAATAGAGCTACCCTGTGACCCAGCAATTGCACTACTGGATATTTACCCAGAGGATACAAAAATGTTGATTCGAAGGGGCACGTGTACCCCGATGTTTATAATAGCATTATCAACAATAGCCAAACTATGGAAAAAGTCCAAATATCCATCAATTGATGAACGGATAAAGAAGAGGTGGTATATATATTCAATGGAATATTACTCAGTCATCAAAAAGAGTGAAATCTTGCCATTTGCAACAATGTGGATAGAGCTAAAGAATATTATGCTAAGTGAAATAAGTCAGAGAAAGACAAATATCATGTAAGTTCACTCGTATGTGGAATTTAAGAAACAAAACAGATGAATATAGGGGAAGGAAGAAAAAAAGAGAGAGAGGGAGACAAACCATAAACAACTCTTAACTATAGAGAACAAACTAACGGTGGCTGGAAGGGAGGTAGGCAGGAGGTGGGCCAGATGGGTGATGGGTATTAAGGAGGGCATTTGTTGGGCGCCTGGGTGGCTCAGATGGTTAAGCGTCTGTCTTCAGCTCAGGTCATGATCCCAGGATCCTGGGATCAAGTCCCGCATCTGGATCCCTGCTCAGCAGGGAGCCTGCTTCTCCCTCTGCCTCTCTCTCTCTCTCTCTGTCTCTTATGAATAAACAAAGAAAATCTTTAAAAAAAAAAAAAGGAGGGCATTTGTTGTGATGAGTGCTGGGTGTTGTATATAAGTGATGAATCACTAAATTCTACTCCTGAAACCAATATTATGCTGTATGTTAATGAGCTAGATTTAAATAAAAACTTAAAAAACACAAGCAAAGGGGCGCCTGGGTGGCTCAGTTGGTTAAGCCACTGCCTTCGGCTCAGGTCATGATCCT